GGGCCTGGGGCAGGAAGCAAGAAGGACAGGCAGGGGATTTGCCTCTGGCCCACAGGGAAGGCCAAGGACATCCCCCCAACTCCGGCCCCGGCAGGACGGCGGCGCCAGCGGGGTTGTCCTGCAGCCGGGGCCATGCTCGGCTGACAGAGCCAGCACAACACCCGCCCAAAGGGACACTGACTTCCTCCTCACCTGCCTGGGGGGCCAGATTTCTAGAGTGTCCATAGAAACCTCCAAACCATCAAGATTCAGCCAAAAAAAACCCTCCAGGAGTTCCCCCTCTCTAGTCTCTCCACCTTGGGGGTTTTACCAGTCCCCCCCTGTCTGGGCTGCTGGGGGTCCCACATGTATTGAAGGGTCTCCCTCTCTGCGGTCTTCCCCCTCCATCGAGGCTGCTGGGGGTCTCAGGAATCCCAAGGGTCTCCCCTCTCCTCACTCCTTACTTTTCTGTTCCAGAGGTCCCCCCTCTCCAGGCTCATCACTTTTCTGGGCTGTCTGGAGTCTCCACTCTCTTGGCTCCCAGTTTTAGGGTCCCAGATGTTCCCCCTCCTATGTGCTCCCCCTCCAGGCTGCCAGGGCTCCCTGTCTCGGTTTGAGAGAATTTGGAGTTGCAGAGACCTTGGATGGAAGTTTCCTTCCTCTGATTCAATACCCCTGGTTCTCTCCAACACGAAGAGAGAGAGGGACCAAACACGTCCGGATGTAAGTGAAAACAAAAAAGAAAAAAAAACCTCTTTACCAAGAAGAATGCTAACCAACAAAACTGATAAAACTGGGTTAAGCTAACCAGAAAATTCCCAAGCTCCCTCCCACCCGATCAAAACAGGATGGCAGCCGGCCTCCCCTCACCCACTGAAACCTGGCAGAGTAGTTTGGAGGGTCAGTGCTGGAGTGAGGCTGCAGTGCTGGCACTGGCAGTTGGAGCAGGGCTGCGACTGGAAGGACCCACAGGACACCCCCCAGATCCAGCAATGAGACCTGGTCGCTGCAGCTCTGCTATGCTGATGGTTTGTAGCCCACTGAGGTGGTGGCAGAGGCCTGGGAGGTAAAAGTCCTGTGAAGTGAGGGAAGGAGACCCACAGTCTGCTGAGTAAAGTCTGAGTGTGGTCTTTGATTGGGCTCAGGGCAGGTGGGAACGCCTCTGGTACCTCCCCAGGGCAGGGAGTTCTTCACTGGGTGATTAACAGCGGATCACAGGACATTTCAAGAGTCTTTGACACCTTCTAAGATGTTACAGCTGCCAGTTTTGTCAGCACAGGTGGATCCATTATGGCCATCAAGAAGATGAGTATCTTCAGGCCATGTGTGTGAATTGTCCTGCTGCCTCCCCAGGGGAGTTATCACAGATGAGTCATTGGTGTAAGGACAAAGAGACAAGACCCAGCTCGTAGCCTCAGGTGGCAGCTGTGCCCTCAACACCTGGATTGTCTGAGTCATCAGCATTCCAGACTTTTCACACTTGTGGATACATTCTTCTCCCAGGATAATAAAGTACAGCCCTAAGTCCCTCCCCACAGTCTACATTAGTCTGCATATTTGGTGAAAATGGAAGGGAGGGGAGGGGGGGGGAGGAGGAGAGGAGAGGTGGATACCAGAGCCTTTGTGTAACCCAGGACGATGAGGCAAAGTGGATTATGTCAACACTACTTCTGTAGGGAACCATATGAACTGTAACAGGACCATTTTTCTTAAAACAAAACATCTCTTTTCCTCACTTCTGCAGCCAAACAAGAAATGATGTTCTCATGAGAACTTCTTGCTGCACTTTTAGGTAAAGGCAAGGGTGGCTGCAGCTGCTCTGTCAGCAGGAGCTGAGTTTGTCCTGCAGCCGAGGGGTTTGTGCAGCACAGCACAGGCCTGGGCCTGCCCCGGGGACTGTTCTGTGCAAAGGCTTCACCTGGAGCTGGAAGGGCACTGGCACTTGGGGAGCTGTAATCCCAAACATTATAGCTACCCAGAATTTGAAGGCACAATTGGAACTCAAACTGCAAATGCTCTGTGGACAACACAAAAAGAAGTATCAGAAATCAGGAAGATTTCAACTCCGAACCGAAGGGCTTAAATCTGATCTTGGCCTTACAAGAGGAGTCGGTACTATAATAAACAGTAGTCACTGTGTATACATAGATCAGTCTCAGAAAGTAGTGACTAATTTGGACAATCTGGAAACAAGTTAGAGTCTTACATGATGTACAAAAGGAGGCATTTCCTGGGGATTTCAGGAGTTGTTGGAAAAGATCATTTTGGTGTCCAGACCCCTCTCAGTGGGTCAAAGGAATTATAGTGACTGTGATGACAGTGATTGTTGTCTTTTATGAATTTATGTGAATTGTTGTACTAATGTTTGTAACCCAAAATATTATAAGGCTTATAAGTGAGACTTGCTGAAAATTTCAACAAGTCTTGAAGGGGGGAAATGTTGGGAAAATCTTTAATTGCAACGAACACTGTGTAGTGTGGCTGGGTTTTGGGGGGGGGGGGGGAGGTTCAGGGGTGGCTTCTGTCAGAAGCTGCCAGAAGCTTCCCCTGTCCCGTGGAGCCAATGCCACTGGCTCCAGGATGGAATTCCTGCCGCTGGCCAAGGCTGGGCCAGTCAGGAGTGACAGTAACACCTCTGGGATAACATATTTAAGAACAGAAGGTTGTTGTGCAGAAGGAATTCCAGCCAGGGAAGAACAGAGTGAGAACATGGGAACAGCAATGCAGACCCCAAGGTCAGTGCAGAAGGAGGGGCAGGAGGTGCTCCAGGTGCTGGAGCTGAGGCCCTGCAGCCCGTGGGGCAGAGCAGGGTGGGGCAGCTGTGCCCCTGCAGCCCCTGGGGGACAATCGAGGTGCAGAGACCCTCCTGCAGCCCCTGGGGGAGCATCGGGGTGCAGAGACCCCCCTGCAGCCCCTGGAGGCTCCCACGCTGGAGCAGGTGGACGCAGGAAGGGGGCTGTGACCCCGTGGCAGGCCCAGGATGGAGCAGGGTCTTGGCAGGGACCTGCAGCCCGTGGAGAGGGAAGCCCAGGCTGGAGCAGGTTTTTCCCAGGCAGGACTTGTGGCCCCTGTGGGGGACCCAGGCCGGTACAGCTCATCCGTGAGGGACTGACCCCATGGAGGAGTGACCCAAGGGACAGCAGGTTGGGAAGAGCTGCTGCCCGAGGGATGGACTCACGTCAGAGAGGTCCATCAAGGACTGTCTCTCGCAGAAACAACAACTGACCGTGACCCCCATTCCCATCCCCCTGCACTGCTGGGGGGGAGGAGGGAGAACGTGGAAGGAGGGGTGGGGGGAAGGTGTTTTTAAGACTGTTTTGTTTCTCACTCTTTGGCTCTTATCCTGTCAGTAATAAATTTAGGTAATATCCCCACTTGGAGTCTGTTTTGCCTGTGAAGGTGATCAGGCACTGACCTCTCCCAGATCTTATCTCAACTCATGAATCCTCAGCTGTTTTTTTTCTCTCTTCTGTCCAGTTGCAGAGGGAGAGTGAGAGTGGCTTTAGTGGGTACCTGGCATCCAGCCAGGGTCAACCCACAACACAGAGTTTAAGTCTTGTGAATTCCTTCAGCTTTACCAGACAGGGCTTAGTCCTGTATCCACCCATAGCTGCGTGCAAGTGGATATCTTAGTCCTGAGACTAAACCATGTGGGCCTGAGCACCACTGATAAGAAGGTGTATCTTGGCCAGACCACAGAGCTGGGAAGCATTCCAGAAGAAGAAACTGGTTTTTTCAGGCTTGTGACCAAAATAGGGTAATTTGAGGAAGGGATATTTCCCAAAGGCAGCGGAGCAGCGCGATGGCTCCGGCGCTGGCTCTCGGGGCACTCCTGGGGCTCCTGGGGCTCCTGGGGGACCCAGGGGGGGCAACGAAGGGTAAGTGGGACCCTCGGAACTGGGACCTCCTGAATTTCCATTCCTGGGAAGTGAACCCCCCCTTCCCCAGAACAAGAAACCCCCTGAACCCCCATTCTCGGGAAGAGGACTCTCCTGCACCCCTTCCCTGACATGGGCACCTCCCTGAACCCCCTTATCCATCCCCGGGACCCCTTGAACCCTCTTCCCTGGGCACTGGAACCCTCCTGGGCCCACATTCTTGGGAAGGGGCGTCCCTGGATGCTCATTCCCAAGCACAGGTACCACCCTGAACCCCCATTCCTGGGCACTGAGACCCCCCCTGTGCCTCCTCCCCCAACATCAGGACCCCCACAAACCCCCTTATCCAGCACCGGCATCCTCTGAATTCCCATTCCTGGAAAGAGGACTCCTCTGCATCCCTTCCCTGGCACAGAGACCTGCCTACATCCCCTTATCCAGCCCTGGAACCCCCCTGGACCCCCATTCCTGGGCATCGGGACCCCCTGAACCCCCATTCTAGGGAAGGAGGCCCCCCTGAACTCCCATTCCTGGGTACCAGGACCCCCCTGAACCTCCATTTCCAGGCACGAGGACCCCTTACCCTGTACCAGGACCCCCCTGAATCCCTACTCCTGGGCAGCAGGATGTCCCTGACACACCTCATCCAGCACTGGAACCACCTGAACACCCATTCCCATATATGGGGAGCCCCCTGCACCCCATACCTGGCTCCAGAACCCTCCTGGACCCCCTTATCATGCACCAATAGCCCCCCACATCCCCTTTTCCCATCATCCCACCTCTTCCAGCCCCTCTTTTCCTTGACCCTGGGACCCCCGAACCCTCATTTCTGCCTTTTCCAGCCCCCAGCCCCTCTTTTTCTCTACTCCGAGGACCTCCAGGACCCACCCCATGACACCCCTTTCCCCAGCACTGGGGCCCCTTGGACACCCCTTTTCTGGGCACAGGGACCCTCTGGAGCCCCCCATCTCACCTCTCCTCATCCCCACATCCCTCTTTCCTTGACCCTGGGACCCCCAAGCCCCTCTCTGGCTCTCCCAGCTCTCCCAGTTCCCCCTTTCCTTTACCCGTGAGCCCCCCCAGTCCCCCAGTCTCTCACCTTGGCCTCCCCAGCCCCTCCAAATGTCCGTGTCCCCCCAGTTCTCCACTCCCTGCGTTACCTGCGAGTGGTGGTGTCGGAGCCCGGCCCGGGGCTCCCCCGATACGTGGGGGTGGGATATGTGGACGGGATCCCCTTCGCGAGCTACAGCAGCGAGCGGGGCCGGGTGGAGCCACGGACTCTGTGGATGGCGGCTGGAGCTGAGCCGGGATATTGGGATACGGAGACCTGGATCAGCAAGATGTACCAGCACGAGGAACCCATCCACCTGAAGATGCTGCAGATCCGGTACAACCAGAGTAGGGGTGAGTGGGGGGAGCCAGGGAAGGATCTGTGGGGCTGGGATGAGGATCTGTGGGGCTGGGATGTGGATCTGTGGGCCTGGAGGGGATCTGTGGGACTCCAAGGCACTGGGATGGGATCTGTGGATCTTCATCACACTATGGGACTCTGTAGGGCTGCAATGGGGCCCTGTGGGGCTGGGACACACCTCCATGGGTCTCTGTGGGTCCGATTCCATCCCCCAGGTCTCCACACACTGCAGCGGGAAATCAGCTGTGAGCTCCTGTCTGACGGGAGCATCCGCGGATCCTTTCGGCAAGGCTACGATGGGCAGGATTTCATCTCCTTCGAACTGGGATCCGGGAGCTTCGTGGCAGCTGATGGTGCTGCCCAGATCACCAAGAGGCGCTGGGAATCTGACGGGATCACGGTGGAGGAGTTGACAAATTACCTGGAGCACACCTGCCCGGAAGTGCTCCAGAAACACGTCTGGTATGGGCAGGAGGCGCTGGAGCGAAAAGGTGGGGGCAGAATTCCCATGGGAATGAGGAACTGGGGAATGTGGGATTTAGGAAGGCAGAATTTGGGAATGCAAGAATTCCCATGGGAATTCTGTTTATGCATGTGACCCTCATCCTATTCCCATGGGAATTCTGTGGGTGGATCTCATTGCTGTCCCATTCCCTTGGGAATTCCACGGATAGATCCCACCATTATCCCATTCCAGAGCCCCTCGACATCCATGTGTCTGGGAAAGAGGAACACGGGATCCTGACGTTGTCCTGCCACGCGTACGGATTCTACCCCAGGATCATCGGGATCAACTGGCTGAAGGGGGATGAAATCTGGGATCAGGAGACGGAGTGGGGCGGGATCGTTCCCAACAGCGACGGCACCTTCCACAGCTGGGCCAGGATCGAGGCGCTGCTGGGGGAGCGGGAGCAGTACCGGTGCCGGGTGGAGCACGCCGGAATGCCGGAGCCCGGGATCTTCGCCTGGGGTGAGGCTGGGAACGGGGAATGTGGGAATTGGGAAATGAGGAATTTGGGGATGTGGAGCAGTGGGATGGGGGTTCCCCTTTCCCCTCCCTCTCCTCATCATCCTGCGCTTCCCAGAGCCGGAATTTGGATGGAATTTCATCCTGGTGCTGGTCGCTGTGTCCATCATCACTGCCATCATCATCATCGTCCTCATCCTCATGAGATTTGGCATCTGGAAGCTCCGATCCAGGGATCCTGTGCCACGGGTCCCGATCCCACTTCATTTCCATAGGGAAGAGGGAGAGAAAGGAATATAACATGGCAACTGGTGAGTTCCAATGGTGGATCCAGCTCTGGATCCCCTCCATGTGCATCCCAGGATGGATCCTGGGGTTCATCCCGGTGTGTGATCCGTGATGGAATCTCATGGATCTTCTCTTACTGCAGGAATAGACATGTGAACCAACAGCTTGACCGCAGGTATGGAGTGGGATCAGGGTGGGATTCCAGAGGGGAATTGGGGCAGGGTGAATGGAGTGGGACCAGGGAGGGATTCAGGATCAGGGCAGGATTCCAAATTGCTATCAGGTGGAATTGTGGAGCAGGATCCAGGCTGAATTTTGGAGCAGGATCAGGTGGGATGGATGGAGAGGGATTGGTGTGGGATGGATGGAGCGAGATCAGGTGGAATTCTTGGCCAGCTCCTGCCCTCCATGGGCTCCACAGCTGGGTCCATCCGGCAGGATGGGGACAGAGACAGGGTGCCACCATGACCCACTCTCATCCCAGCAGGAATCACCACCTGAGTGATCCATGGAGCCAGAGCAAGGGAAATCTGAGAGTTACCGGCTGAGCTCATCCCACTGCTCCCACCCACCCCAGCCCTGCCATGTCTCTTCTGAATGGATCATCTTCCCACTTTCCCATGTTTGAAAGCCAGGAATCACAGCTATTTCAATGCTTTCATTTTGGTGTGAAAATATCCTTCCCCCATGTCCAGCAGAGCAAATTCCAGCAACTCCAGGATGGACTCACCACTGGCCAAGGCTGAGCCCATCAGAGATGGCAGTGACGCCTTGGGGAGAACGTATTGAAGGAAGAAAAAGTCCTTGTGCAGATGGAATTGGGTGCAGAGAAGAACAGAGTGGGAACAGGGGAGAGGAACAGCTCTGCAGACCCCCAGGGCAGTGCAGAAGGAGGGGTAGGAGGTGCTCCAGGCACAGGGGCTGAGATTCCCCTGCAGCCCAAGGAGGAGCCCACACCAGAGCAGGAAGATGCCCAAAAAGAAGGATGTGAGCCCGTGGGAAGCCCGTGCTGGAGCAGAGTCCCTGCAGCTGCTGTGGCCCCAGAGAGCTCCAAGGGTCTCACTCAGCACTGCTGGTTATGGGGCCACACAGAGGGGGCTTGAGGCACAGGAATTGTCCATCCTGGCCCCAATTCAGGTCTGTGATTTTCTCTGAAAGTTGGAGAACAAAAATAGGATTCCACTTGGATTGTTCTTCAGGCAAGAAAAATAATAAATTTCCCAGGCTGCTCATTAAAGCAGCAGGAGCTGGTTAGACAGCACCAGTTCCTGGCAGCAGAGAGTGTTTCTGAGCAGCTCAAGAGCAGCTCAGTCCAGGGCTGTTCATCAAGGCTGAGGCCTAACGAGCATTTCTCAGATCACAGGGAGGCCTGGGGGGGGTGTGTGGGGATGCACCACCACACCTGGAAAGGTGTTGTCCCAAGGACTTGCACAGCTGGGAGGTGTTTTCAGTCCCAAATTCCACCCCCTCCCCCCCCACCCCACAAGGTGCTGGACGGCCCTTCAGACCCACCTGAGACCACCCCCTGTCTCTCCAAAAACCTGCAGGAGGGAAAGCAGCTGAGTCTAAAACAGCAAGTGTTCTGTGGAGCTTTAATGTCTCGCAGCTGCTTGCAAGCTTGGTTTGCTTTGTTTGCTAAAATGCATAAATAGTATAAAAAGCTTTGCGAGTTGGTGCTTGACTTGTGAAACAGCACCGGGCACCCAACTCTGGAGTAATAACGCTTCAATGTCTCTCTCGAGTGTGTCATTATTGTGATAGCAAATAAAGACCAAAGGAGAGATAATTTGCTTATCAAATTATATTTGCAACACTGTAATTACAAACTGCGATAAACAAAGTCTCAAGTTTCTATAAGTTTCAAGTAATAGTTTCATTTAGTGTTTGTCTTGACTACCTCATGCATATTGATTGTATCATATACATGTATATTCTGCGGGTTTTTGCTAAGTGTTTAATGTGTAGGTTTTCTTACAGCTAAAGCTGAGAGTTATCTCTACAACCAGTCATAGTTCATGTATTCTTAGACAAACGGGCGCCTAAAGATTTAAAGTTCTACTATATTTACAGCTAAAGCTAAAAGAGTTATCTCTACAGCCAGTCATAATTCATGTATTCTTGGACGAGTAGGCGCCTAAAGATTTAAAGTTCTACTATATTTCATTCTTAGGATAGTAAGGAAGTTTTAGGCCTTTTGACCTTGTGAGGGTCTGTTTTATTTCCTTGCGGGGGTGTAGTTGAGTTTTGTAATCCATTTGTTTTGTTTTAATGTAGTCACTCATTTGTTTCACAAATCACAATTATTTATATATCACACAAACCATAATGTTATGTTACAATAATTAGTGATATTTTGTTATGTTATGTAATGAGAAAAAGAACCGAAAAAGAGAACAGAACTATTTCCCAGCGGCAAGATGGCACATGTGCAGAAAAAGCTGACTACGTCAAAAGGATGAAGTGAACAGAGCCGAGCTTGTCTCCTAGCAACAAGATAACGCATGTGTAAAGCCTCTCGGCAACAGAACAGAGCCTGCACAGACAGACCTGATGACGTAAAGCAGAGGAATCAGAACAAGGAGGGGATTTTAAAAAAGACAAGCAGCTACAAACCTATAAAAGGCAGATTGAAAATTATTGAAGCGTGCCTTGGATGAGCAAGAAAGGCTCATCAAGTCACCCAGCGCTGTTTTGCTTATTTGATTTTTATATAAATCTATAATAAAACTTTTTACTACGATATTTAAGCCTAGTGCTGATTTTACTTATAACAATTATCGGCTTGTCACAGCCCGGGGAACGAATGCGATGTTTGCGGCCAAGGCCGAGGCACAAACTCGTTCCGAGCCCGCCGGGGCTCAGCGGGAAGGAGGAGCCCGCGGGCAGCCGCTGAAATGGAGACAAGACAAAATAAAAATTTAGCCATGTTAGCACGAAGTGTGACTTTGCAGAATTGTAACTGCTTGCAAACAGGTCTCTGCCCAAATTGTGGGCAGATAAAATGAAGGGGAAGTAAACAAATAAGGGACTGACAGGGAAAGTGGGAAAACAAAGGCTTTTAGCACATAGCATTGTGAGTGAGACAGGAGAGGGGTGGGGGGAAAACAGCGCTTGAAATGATAAAGTTTCATGTTCCTACTCTGTAATAATTAAAAATAGGGATAGGTAACTGAATGTATATTTAGATAAGGCAGACTTCGTACCAGTTATCAAAGAGTGTATATGATAGATAATTTTTGAAACTTACTCCTTCCAAATGTATATAAAACTGTTGTGTTTCTTTTCTCAGTGGAATGCACTGGAGGGGGGGGCGAAACCCCTTTGCATTGCCCCGGCCGGAAATAAAAAGTGTGCTTTTACATATTGTTTAAGGATTTCTTTGAATCACCGCTCCCTCAGCGGTCCCTGGGGAGGGGACACGGGGGGCCGAGCCCGCCAGACCCCGCTCCCCGCGGCGCCTCCCGCCCCCTCCGCCCGCAGCGAGCCCCGAGCCCCGGCAGGACCGAGCGCGGGTCCCACCGCGCCGGGGCCGCCCCCGAGCTCCGCCGCCGCCTCAGCGCCGTCCGGGCGCCGCCGCCGCCGCCCCGGCCCGGCAGAGGGAGGGGGCGGGGACTGCCCGCCCGAGCCGACCAATGAGCGCGCGAGGGTGAGGAGTGACGGGGCAAGCAGCCAATCATGACGGGACTCGAGCTCTGCCGCCGCCATTTTGTCGCGCTACCCGGGCCGAGGGGCAGGACCAGGGCATTGTTCGATCGGTGTTGGGGGCACAAAGACCCGACTGGGGGACATTGACGGGATTGGGAACCGCTCAGATCCGAGCAGGAGGGTGAGAAGTCAAACGAATCCTAATAAAACACCTTCCCCCACCCCTCCCTCCTTCACGGACTTCACTTTATCCCCTATTCGGTCCCTCCGCTTCGCGGCACAGGGGGATGGGGGTCCTACCGCTGCTTCCCGCTCAGGGAGAGGAGTCCGTGTCTGCTCCATCCTGTGGGGTAGAGCGGAGTCCGTGTCTGCTCCGTCCTGTGGGGTAGAGTGGAGTCCGTGTCTGCTCCGTCCTGTGGAGTAGAGCGGAGTCCGTGTCTGCTCCGTCCTGTGGGGTAGAGCGGAGTCCGTGTCTGCTCCGTCCTGTGGGGTAGAGCGGAGTCCGTGTCTGCTCCATCCTGTGGGGTAGAGCGGAGTCCGTGTCTGCTCCGTCCTGTGGAGTAGAGTGGAGTCCGTGTCTGCTCCGTCCTGTGGGGTAGAGTGGAGTCCGTGTCTGCTCCGTCCTGTGGAGTAGAGCGGAGTCCGTGTCTGCTCCGTCCAGCGTGGGGTACTTGGCACGGGAGACAGTCCCTCGGGAACAGGCTGCTCCACCGTCGGTCCCCACGGGGTCACAAGCCCTGCAGGAGCCTGTTCCGCGTGGGCTCCTCTCTCCGCGGCTCTGCAGGGGCTTCCCACGGGCTCTCGGCCTCCTTTGGGCATCCCCTGCTCCGGCGTGGGCTCCTCCCTGGGCTGCAGGGGGGTCTCTGCTCCATCCTGGACTCGTCCACAGGTCACAGGCCCTTCAGCTCAACTTCACACTGCCTGTCCAGTGCAGCAGCAGTTCCCGGGCCTCCTGCCAGCCCGGGCACATCGCCGGGGCTGTTGTCCAGCATTCCCAGGCACAGCACAGTGAGGTGATCAGAGCTGAGCAGCTCAGCAGCAGCGACAGCAACAAACAGCCACTAAGGAGCACCAGACTCTGACACACAGCCAGGAGCCCCAGACAGCACCAGCAGCTGTAAATTCCAGCAGCACATCCCAATCCCACCTGTCAGGATCTCCAATGCTCCCAGCCCCACCTTGGACACCAACAAAGGCTGTTGTGGTTTCACCCCATCCAGCCCCAAGCCCCCCCAGCCACTCCTCACTCACCCACCAGCAGGACTGGGGAGAGAACTGGGAGGGGATGAGAGAAAGAGAGTTTAATAAGGACAAGCAAAAGCTGCACACACGAGCAAAGCAAAACAGGGAATTCATCCTCTATTTCCCATGGGCAGCGGTGTTCAGCACCTCCAGGAGAACAAGATTCCATCCCATGGAACAGTGACTTGGGAAGACAAGCTCCATCACTCCAAATGTCCCCCCACTTCCTCCTTCTCTCCCCCACTTTATACACTGAGCATGATGTCACATGGTCTGGAATATCCCCTGGGGCAGTTGGGGTCACCTGTCCTGGCTGTGTCCCCTCCCAACCTCCCACACACCCCCAGCCCCTCCCCAGCGTGTCCATACAAGGGGCAGGAAAGGCCTTGGCTCTGGGTGAGCTCAGCACTAACAAACCTTCTCTCTGTTCTCAACCCTGTGTTCAGCACACGCCCAAACACAGTCCCACACCAGCCTCTGCAAAGAAAATTAACTCCACCCCCCCCAAACCAGCACATTCCAGCCCTTATTCCACACCAGTCCCATCATGCCCAGGCCCCACAGGACTCAATACAACTTCAGCCCCCACCACCCCCTTCCCATTCTTTGTGTAACACACAGGTCTTGTTCCCTTAGTCTATGCACCGCCCCTGCAAAATGTCCATAAAATGGCCCCAAAATCCCCGTTGAATTCCTCCAGTCCATGCCTTTGGGCTCCCCCTGTTCTGGTGGTCCCTCAGGGCAGGAGAGGGGCTGTGTGGGGAGAGTTCCTGGGCACCAAAGGCAGCTCAGCTCAGGTCCCTGCTGCCCTGCAACTGCTGCTCCTGAGGCTCTGTAAGAGATTGTTCCATCTCTGACTCGCTTCTTTGTTTTTACATTGACTGGTGTAATGAACAATAAGTAATTGGCCTATTGCCATCAGCTGAGGTACGTGCCAAACTAAGTTTTTCAGGCTACCAGGAGCCCCCCCGGAGCCCAGTGACTGAACAAAGTGGTGGACACCGACTTTAGCCTTTAGCAGGGCTGCCTTCATCGACCTAGGGGGACATTGTGGACTGCTCGCTGGAACCCCTGGAGAGTCTCCAACAGAAAGGTGTTCCATTTTCCCGCCTTGGCAGAGCCAAAATCCCGTATAATAAACTGCCCAGAGTCCTTTTGATCTTTGAGCAGCAAAGGTATTTATTGACAGCGCTGGCAGCAAGCCAGCTATTGCTGGACAAACCTGCTCAAAGGCTTCACACAAAATCAGCAGTTTTTATACAATTTTTGTATATGATTAAATGCATATTCAAGTGATTACAACATCTATCTATGCATATTAATAACAGGTGGAGTATAGGTGGAGCTCAGGCAGGGCTTGGGGCGGTGCTTCTCTTGGCCCTCAGTTTTGGTGGTAGATCTGATCTTCTTCCCATGGGTCTGGGGGCTAATTCTCATCTTCCTCCGTTTGACCTCCCTTCTCTTCTATTGTCCTCGACCCGTTCACTGAAGCTTGGAGAAGGCCTTGGCTCCCAGCCTGTTTCTTCTATTCAAATGTCTACCTTATCCTACTGCATCTTAATTTATTACCTCTAGGCCTATTCTATGATTCTTTTACCATTCTTTTAAGTTTTGGTCCAGTAGGTAGAACAGAACGAGTACAGATTGTACAGATGGTAATAGCTGGTTAGCAGGCCCGAATTTCTCAGTTAACTCTTTTGGGCCTGGCCTCCTGTTTCACTGAATACCAGCAGCTTAACCAAGATACTGTGGAAGGATCTGCCCGGAGCCAAGCTGGCCAGGGAGCGCCCACCGGGGGTATTTAAGGCAGTGCCCAGCGCTGTGGTCCTGTCCAGCCCAGTCGGTGTTGCCCAGGGTCCCGTGCTGGCTGCTGGCCCCTCTCCTCGCTCCGTCCTGCTTTGCCTCCGTCTCGCCTGCCTCCGTCCTGCTCGTGTCCCACCTGCCTTCGTCTCCTGTTTGTCTTTGATCCAGTCTGCTCACCACCTGCTTCTCTCCAGCGTTCCTTCCCTGACTGCCTGAGGCTGACTACACCCAGTTCTCTCACTGGTGGTGGGAACCTTTTTGCACTTTCCTTTTGTAGCCTTTCCTTTTCCTTATCTTTCCTTATCTTTCCCTCTTTTTCTCCCCCCCCCCTCGCTTTTACCGTTTTAACTTATTGTTACAAATAAAGTTAATTGTCTGTTTGAGACCATTTGGAGTTTTGTGCCTTAATCTCGCCTTCGAAGTAATCATCTAAAAGAACCTCGTTACAGCCTCTGAACGGTCTGTACCAGGCACTTGGTGTGTTCAGCTGGAGGAGACTGAGGGGAGACCTCACTGCAGTTCCAACTTCCTGGGGAGGGGCAGAGGAGGGGCAGGCCCTGAGCTCTGCTCTGGGGGGACCAGGAACAGGACCCCAGGGAATGGCCTGAAGTTGGGTCATGGGAGGTTTAGGTTGGATATTAGAAAGAAGTTGTTCCCCCAGAGGGTGGTTGGGCACTGACCAGGCTCCCCAGGGCAGTGGGCACAGCACCAAGGCTGACAGAGCTCAAGGAGTGTTTGGATGATCATCCCATGGTGTGAGATGGGGATGGTCACAGGGTCCAAGGGTTGGACTCAGTGATCCTCATGGGTTCCTTCCAACTCAGCACATTCTGTGATTCTTTGTAACACCCCACCTTTGCCTGCTTTGCTGCTTCTGTTAACCACAAGTTCCTTCCTTTATTGTTTCTTTACTTGGCAACTTGGTTACACAGAAATTTTCTATGGCACATTCTGCTGCAACCATTACTAGATCTGTTATGTCTCCAAACCCAATGTCAGCCCTATGGAGCCAGGCCACCATCCATTGGCCCTCTTGGCCACCTGGGCACACTTTGCCTCTTGTTCAGCTTCCTGTCCATCCCCACTCCCAGCTCCCTTTCTGCCTGCCTGCTCTCCAGCCACTCTGACCCCTGCCCAGGGGGCTGACGGGGCTTCTTGTGGCCAAAGGGCAGGACCCGGCCCTTGGCCTGCTGGAACCTCATCCCCTTGGAATCAGCCCATGGATCCAGCTTGTCCAGGTCCCTCTGCAGAGCCCTCCTGCCTTCCAGCACATCAACACACACCCCCAACTGGTGTCAGCTGCAAATTTGCTAATGGTACCCTCGATCCCCTCATCCAGATCATCAATAAAGATATTAAACAGGACCGGGCCCAACACTGATCCCTGGGGGACACCACTGGTGACCGGATCCCAACCATTCCCACCACTCTCTGGGCCCAGGCCTCCAGCCAGTTCCTAACCCAGCACAGAGTGCCCCTGTCCAAGCCTTTTCCAGGAGTGTGCCATGGGAGACAGTGTCCAAGGCTTTGCTGAAGTCCAGACAGACACATCCACACCTTCCCCTCACCCACCAGGTGGGTCACCTGATCATAAAAGGAGATCAGGTTGGTCAGACAGGACCTGCCCCTCCTAAACCCGTGCTGGCTGGGTCTGATCCCTTGTCCATCCTGTAGGTGCTGTGGGACTGCACTGAGGATGATCTGCTCCATAACCTTGCCAGGCACCGAAGTCAGGCTGACAGGCCTGGAGTTTCTCAGGTCCTTCTTGCAGCCCTTTTTGTGGATGGGCGTGACATTCACCAACTTCCAATCATCTGGGATCTCCCCACTGAGCCAGGGCTGTTGGGAAATGATAGAGAGTGGCCTGGTGAGCTCTTCTGCCAGCTCCTCATCAGCCTCGGGTGGATCCTGTCTGGTCCCATAGACTTGTGAGGATCCAAGTGGCTCAGCAGGTCACTGACTGTTCCCTCCTGGATTACAGGGGGGCTGTTCAGTCTCCTGTCTCTGTCTACCAGCTCCAGAGGCCACTTGTCCTGAGGACAACCTGTCTTACTGTTGAAAACTGAGGCCAAGAAGGTGTTAAGTACCTCAGCCTTTTCCTCATCTTTGGTAATTATGTTCCTCCAAACCTCATGTCCAACAAAGAATGGAGGTTTTCTTTGCCTCTCCTTTTGCTATTGATGTATTTATAAAAACACTTTTATTATCCCTTACAGAAGTGGCCAGATGGAGTTCAAATTGTGCTTTTGCCTAATTTCTTTTCTGCAGTTTGTTCAGTTGTTCTTGTGAGTGAACAGAGGGGTTTGATTTTTCTCTTCTCTCGGGTGGGTTATGCTTTACAGTCCTCCCCTGTCTTTCAGGAGGTTCTCACAGTTCAGTTTTTCAGCTCCTTTCAGTGTGTTCCACAGCATGATTTTCCCAGCCTGTGTGCTTTACCGTGTCATGCAGGAGTTCTGCCCACATAGGGACCAGTCTCCTCAGGGCCTGTGGATCTCGTAAAGTTTCATTATGCATTACATCTCTTCTGATTTCACTTTGTCACCCCACTAAATATATTTTCTACATTTTCTTGCATATTTTCCCACTCCTACCAGTTATCCACCGGCCAACACTCATCAGTGTTAATGTGTGACTGTGCCTCCATAAATATTCTGTTAAGCCTTTTGTCTGTTTCTCAAAATCATTTGCCATCCTGCTGACTACACCAAATTGTTGTGGGTGGGACTGGAAGGCTTTGAGACAAAGTTCATTAGAGAAGTCCTGCTGTTGAGTCTCGAGGTGCAGAAAGGACTCCCTGGCTTTCTGAACTCCTGCTCCGAGAGGAGCCTGGGGGTGGCTGGATCCAATCTCAGCCTCGGATTATATTAACAAAGGATTTAAGGAAAGATAGAGATGTGATTGAATCAGCTTTTAATGATGGCAAACCAGATATATTTATATAAAGTTATTTATTATTTATGACAAATGAACAGACAAACGAACAGACAAGTGTACAGAGGAAAGATCTTAACCAGAATAATTTACTACACAGTATAAATGCTACAAACCTACCAGTAGAGTATAATACAGCATAAAATAGTGCCCTGTATCAAGCAATTCTAGCAAAGCAATTGTACCAAATTGTATCAAAACTGGCAAAAAGAAACAAACATTAGTGGGGATTGATGTAACTCCGTGTGCAATTTAACCCCTGAGTAACCATGAAGAGGCCTCCCTGCTCCATGGGACAAGCTCTGCACACTCCAGGAAAGTCTGTGGAAGAATCTGCCACGTGAAAGTTGGGCTGGGCTTTCATAGTTACAAAGAGTTTGATTGCCAGTCCCATTTCTGCAGGCCAGCCAGCAGCTTATCAGTCAAATCCTGCTTCCAAAAGCCCGGGGTGTGTTTGCAGTGGGCGAACCAGGCTGGTTTTAAGCACAACCCAACACTAAAAGCAGCCCCTTGGCACCAGTGGGAGCTCAGCACAGACAGCTTGGGTTGTTTGGGTTCTCTGACTGGATTTTAGGCTTTATTCGGGCAGAGTGTCCTGCCAGACCTCCCAACCTCCGTGTCCCCCCAGTTCTCCACGCTGTCAGAGCCCGTGTCACAACACGTGGAGCCACTGCAACAGGTTCTTTTCCTGAGGGATCCCTTGGAGGGGATGAAAGAGAAACAGTCCTGGAGAACCGGAGTGACACCAGGGATGGCTTTTATTTTTGGCACCTCTGGAATCGTAACCGAGGATCGCTCAGGGGGCGATTCCTGCCAGGATGAGAGCGAGGCACAGAGTCACCATGTCCCTGTGCCCATCCCACAGGATGGATCCAGCTGCAGAGCCCACAGAGAGGAGGAACTGCACTAGAATCCCACCCCATCCTGCTCCACCCATCCCATCTGACCCCACTCCATCCATCCCACCCCAATCCTGCTCCATCCACCCCACCCAACCTCGCTCTGAAATCCCATCCCAATCCCACTCCATCCATCCCAGCTGATCCTGCTTCAGAATCCACCCCACAATTCCACCTGATCCCACTCTGGAACCCTGCCCTGATCTGGAATCCTGTCCCAATCCTGCTCCATCTATCCTGCCCTAATTTCCCTCTGGAATTCCACATGGATCCCACTCCATACCTGGGAGGCAGCAGTCAGTTCCCATGTCTGTTCCTGTGGAAAGAGAAGATTGATGAGATGCTGGCCTGGATCACACACCTGGACTCATTCCAGGATCCATCATGGGATCCACATGGAGAAGATCTGGATCTGGATCCAGATACGCTGCTGGTACTCACTGTTGGCCGCACCATACTACTTCCTCTTCCCTCCTCCCTATGGAAATAAAGTGGGATCAGGACCCGTGGCACAGGATTCCAGGAATGCTGCTGGGCAGATCTGTGCCCCTTCCCAATCCCCATCCATGAGTTACCAGATCGGAGCTTCCAGACACGGACTCCAATGAGGCTGATTATGATGATGGCAGCGATGATGGACACAGTGACCAGCACCAGGATGAAATTCCATCCAAATTCCGGCTCTGGGAAGCGCAGGATGATGAGGAGGGGGAGGAGAAACTGGAACCCCCATCCCACTGCTCCACATCCCCAAATTCCTCATTTCCCAATTCCCACATTCCCCGTTCCCAGCCTCACCCCAGGCGAAGATCCCGGGCTCCGGCATTCCGGCGTGCTCCACCCGGCACCGGTACTGCTCCCGCTCCCCCGGCAGCGCCTCGATCCTGGCCCAGCTGTGGAAGGTGCCGTCGCTGTTGGGAACGATCCCGCCCCACTCCGTCTCCTGATCCCGGATTTCATCCCCCTTCAGCCAGTTGATCCCGATGATCCCGGGGTAGAATCCGTACGCGTGGCAGGACAACGTCAGGATCCCGTGTTCCTCTTTCCCAGACACATGGACGTCGGGGGGCTCTGGAATGGGATAATGGTGGGATCTATCCATGGAATTCCCAAGGGAATGGGACAGCAATGAGATCCACCCACAGAATTCCCATGGGAGGGTGAGATGCATAAACAGAATTCCCATGGGAATTCCTCTGTTCTCAAATTCCACCTTCCCAAATCCCACATTCTCTAGTACCCCATTCCCATGGGAATTCTGCCCCCACCTTTTTGCTCCAGCGCCTCCTGCCCATACCGGACGTGTTTCCGGAGCACTTCCAGGCAGATGTGCTCCAGGTAATTTGTCAACCTCTCCATCTTCATCTCATCAGATTCCCAGAGCCTCTTGGTGATCTGGGCAGCGCCATCGGCTGCCACGAATCTCCTGGATCTGGATCCCAACTCAAAGGAAAGGAAATCCCGTCCATCGTAGCCTTCCCGATGGGATCCACGGATGCTCCCGTCCGACAGGAGCTCACAGCCAGAATCCCGCTGCAACGTGTGGAGACCTGGGGGATGAAATCGGACCCACAGAGACCCATGGAGGTGTGTCCCAGCCCCACAGGGCCCCATTCCAGCCCTACAGAGTCCCATAGTGTGATGAAGATCCACAGATCCCGTCCCAGTCCCTTGGAGTCCCATGGATCCCCCCAGGCCCACAGATCCACATCCCAGCCCCACAGATCCTCATCCCAGCCCCACAGATCCCCCCCCAGGCCCACAGATCCTTCCCTGGCTCCCCCCACTCACCCCCACTCTGGTTGTACCGGATCTGCAGCATCTCCAGGTGGGCGGGGTCCTTGTGCTGGTACATCTGGTTGATCCGGGTCTCCGTATCCCAATATCCCGGCTCAGCTCCAGCCGCCATCCACAGAGTCTGCGGCTCCACCCGGCCCCGCTCGCTGTCGTAGCGGCTGATGGGGATCCCATCCACAAACGCCACGGCCACATATCGGGGGAGCCCCGGGCCGGGCTCCGACACCACCACTCGCAGGTAACGCAGGGAGTGGAGAACTGGGGGGACACGGACATTTGGGGGGGCTGGGGAGGCCCAAGGTGAGAGACTGGGGGGCTGGGGGGGCTCACGGGTAAAGGAAAGGGGGAACTGGGAGAGCTGGGAGAGCCAGAAAGGGGCTTGGGGGGCCCAGGGTCAAGGAAAGAGGGATGCAAGGATGAGCAGAGGTGGGATAGGGGGTTGCAGGGGGTCCCTGTGCCCAGGAAAGGGGGGCCCCAATGCTGGGGAAAAAGGGATCATGGGGTGGGGAAACCCAGGATGGCAGGGAACGGGGGGTCACAGGGGTCCCCTGCATTCTGGAAAAGGAGGGCTTGGGGCTGGAAAAGGCAGGAATGGGGCTCCAGGGGGTCCCAGGGTGAAGGAAAAGGAGGTGTTTGGAGTCTGGGAGAGGCTGGATGGCCAGGAAGGGGATGCAGGGGGGTACTGGTGCAGGATAAGGGGGAGTAGGGGGGCCCCAGTGCACAGGAACAGAGGTTCAGGGGGGTCTTGCTGCTACATAAGGGGGTGTAGGAGGGTCCCTGCGCCCAGGAAAGCGGATGCAGGGGGGTCCCAGTGCCCAACAGGAGCATAGAGAGGGTCCCAGTCCCAGATAAGGGGTTCAGGGGGATCTGGGTGCTGAATAAGAGGGTGCAGGAGGGTCCCCATGCCCAGGAATGGAGGTCTGGGGGGTCCCAGGGTCAAGGAAAGGGGGTGAGGGCACTGGGAGAGGCAGGATGGAGGTTCAGGGGGGTCCTGTGCCCAGGAAAGGGGGGTACAGTGGTCCCCAGTGTTGAGGAAAGTGGGGTCTGAGAGCTGGGAAAGGCAAGAATGGGGGGCCAGGTCGTCCCAGTATCGAGGAAAGGGGGGTCATGGGATGGGGAGACCCAGGATGGCCGGGAATGGGGTCCTGGGGCCCTTTGGTGTAGAAGAAATGGGGGGCTGCGGAAGGCAGGAATGGGAATCAGGGGGTCTTAGGGTCAAGCAAAAGGTGTCTAGGAAAGGTGGGATGGCTGGGAAAAGGGGTGCAGGGCGATACTGGTGCAGGATAGGGGGGCCCGGGGGGCGCTGGTGCTGGGGAAGGGGGATTTCAAGGGGTCTCAGAGTTAAGGAAAGGGGAGGCAGGGGCTCGGAGAGGGGGCATGGGTGGTCCAGGGGGTCCCTCTGCCAAGGAAAGGGAGGTCCTGCTGCTCCCAGTGTCGAGGAAAGGGTGGTCACGGGGTGGGAAACCCAGCATGGCCAGGAATGGGGGTCCTGGAGGTCCGCGGTGCTGCGGAAAGAAGGGCTGGGGGCTGGGAAAGGAGGGAATGGGGATCCAGGGGGTCTCAAGGTCAAGGAAAAGAGGTATCTGGCAGAGGTGGGATGGCCGGGAAAAGGGGTGCAGGGGGGTCCCGGTGCCGAATGAGGGGGTGCAGAGGGGTCCCTGCGCACAGGAACGGGGATTTCAGGTGGTTCCGATGCTTGATAAGGGGATTCAAGGGGGACCCAGTGCCCAGGAATGGGGGTTCAGGGGCGTCCCGGTGCCAGGAATGGGGGTTCAGGGGGGCTCCCGTGCCCGGAAGTGGCGGTCCAGGAGCTCCCGGTTCCGAGGGCCCCACTCACCCTCCGCCGCCCCCGCCGGGGTCCTCAGGAGCCCCAGGACCCCCAGCAGCGCCCCCAGACCCAGCGCCGGAGCCATCGCGCTGCTCCGCTGGCCCCGCCCACAGCCCAGGCCCCGCCCACAGAACCGCCTCCGGCCCCGCGATTGGCGCCGCTATTTCCTGACCGCCAATGGCAGCACGATGTGCTCGTGACGTCACCGGTCGCCGAGCAGATCCTGGTCGCGCAGTTTGGGAGGCGGAAGCGATCGAGGGAGCGCGGGGGGGGGGGCGGGGACGGGGGAGTTCCTGGGAATTCTCCTGGATCCCCTTTGGGACCCCTCCGGGCACCCCCTAGATCGCCCTCGGCCCCCCTGCGACCCTCCTCGGCCACGTACTGTGGGACCTCCGGGCCGGGCTGAGCTGAACTCGCGGGCCCTGCGCTTAAACTCGGCCTTAAACCCGCTGGTTTGGGGCCAAAGCGGGGGAAGCGCCGGGATCTGCGGATCCCGCGGGGACGGGGGGGATCTCCCTGTGCCAGTGCCCTCCCCGCGCAGCCCCCACTGCCCCCCGCAGACCCTCCTCATCCCTCCTGGATACTGCGTTCCAGAGCTTCCCAGGGACAGCTCAGGCGTGTCCCGCCCGAACTCCTCCCAGAGCAGCTCCTGGGCCGTTCCTTGGGAGACACCGAGGGGGAAAAGCTCGTTTTGGCTGCGTGTGCGGGTCCCTACCCCCGGCGGAGCAGGGCTGGGCGCTGGGACTCCGACCCCTGATCCCGAATCTCCTTCTCTGTCTTTCTCGTCTCCCTTTCCTCGGGGTGATCATAAATCCCAGAGGGGCTGGAGAACCCCTTTCCCAGTCGTGGGTTTCCCAGGGAAGTGGGTGCAGGGGTATCCCAGTGTGCAGGAATGGGGGTTCAGAGGGGTCCCAGGGTCAAGGAACGGGGAGGCTGGGAGAGGTGAGATGGCTGGGAAAGGGGTTGCAGGAGGTCCCGGAGCCGGATAAGGGGGTGCACGGGGGTCCTGGAGCTGGGGAAGGAGCTGCAGGGGCGTCTCAGTGACCAGGAATGGGGACTCAAGGGGGTCCCAGGGTCCAGGAAATGGGGGGCTCCCAAAAGCCCTCCCTGGGAGGAGCAGGAGCTGGGTCAGGAGCTCTGTAGGGAGAGCAAAGAGGGTGACACCGGGATGGGGGGGCGGCGTCCGGCGGCAGCTCTGGGTCGGGGCGGGGGCAGGATCCGGGAAACAGCGGCGGCTGCCGGGAAGGGACCGGGATGGATTGGGACGGGATGGGATGGACTGGGGTGGACTGGGATACCGGGATACACTGGGACCAGGAGCAGGACCCAGCAGGACCAGAACTGAGGCAACGGGGATCATACTGGGAGCAACTGGGAACACATTGAGGGCTACTGGGAGCGTGCTGGAGGCAACTGGAATATACTGGGAGTGACTGGGATCATAACGGTGGAACCTGGAACCTCACTGGGGTAACTGAGAGTGACTGGCAATGACTATGAGTGTGCTGAGGACTGTAAGTGGGATCTACTGGGAGTGTCTGTAACCATAGTGGGGGGGACTGGGACCACTGTGGGAGCAACTGAGACCATGCTGGGGGGAACTGGGACCATGCTGGGGGGAGGTGGGAGCAACTGTGAGTGACTGGATCTATGATGGGGTAACTGGGATTGACTGGGACCATGCTGGGGGGAGACTGGGATCATACTTGGATTGACTGGATCTACGCTAGGGGCAACTGGGAGCAACTGGGACCATGCTGGGGGCAACTGGGATCAGAGCAGGATCATATTGGGAGTGAATGCATCAATGCAAGGGGCGACTGGGAGCAACTGGGACCATGCTGGGGGCAACTGGGATCAGAGCAGGATCATATTGGGAGTGAATGCATCAATGCAAGGGGCGACTGGGAGCAGGTGGGACCATGCTGGGGACAACTGGGATCATATTGGGAGCAACTGGGATTAGACTGAGGGTGACTGGGCTCATACTGGGATCATACTGGGATCACAGTGGGAGCAGCTTGGCTCATGCTAGGGACAGCTGGGATCATATTGGGAGCAACTGGGACTAGACTGAGGGTGACTGAGCTCATACTGGGATCATATGGCAGTGCCTAGGAACATGCGAGTAGCTGGGATCGTGCTAGGGCAACTGGGATATACTGGGAGCAAGTGGGATTATGCCAGGGGTGACTGGGAGCAACTAGGACCACCCTGGGGATGATGGAGAGTGGCTGTGAGCAACTGGGATCATGCTGAAAGCTACTGGGAGCAACTGGGAGTGACTGGGATCATGCTGAGAGTGACTAGGAGCATGCTGGGGATGCCTGGGATATACTGGGAGAGACTGGGAGTGACAGGGTTCATACTGGAAGTGACTGGGACCATATAGGGAGTGTTTGGGATCATACTGGAATCATTCTGGGAGGGACTAGAAGCAACTGAAGCCATACTGGGGGTGACTGGGTGTGACTGGGAGTAACTGTGTGTACAGGGGGTACTTTTGACTTAGATGATCAATGGAGCATAGAGGTGTGAGAAAGAAGTTATATTGGGATGTGAAACCAGCCAGAGTATTGTAAAATGTAACTTGATGGCACGAGTTAACTGAAAGGTCCATTGTGCTTTTTAGCAAGTCAACTTGATGTCCCCCATTATCAGAGCTGAGTTCCTCCTTGGCTTGCCCCATACTGCAAGATGGATACAAAACCCCTTGAAACACAGTGGGAGAGGTCCATAGGGGTGAGAAAGATGATGGGGAGGGGAAGATTATGTGGGCAGGGGTTGTTGGCCCCTTGCCCTACAGCAGGGCATGCACAGACTGTTGCTGTTGGGTAATGAACAGGCGGGGTTTGGCTGCCACTCAGGCATCACCTTATACTGTGCCCTGGCCCTACGTGGTGTAATGTGGAGCTGATAAAATGGGGTGTCAGAGCTGCTGAGCTGAGCGATCCTCATCCTGCCATGGAGCCTGTGTTGCTCCGCGGGGACGCCCGCTAAGCACGGGCACCGACCAGCTGCTGCAGATCCTGGCAGCCCTGGCCTGTCTGTGTGGGTAAGCACAGGTTATTGATAGGAAGCAACCAAGAAAGCAAATGTTTTATATCCTTTTTTTGTATCCCTTTAATTCCCTTTTTACTAGTTCATCATCATGGCTGGGCTTCACAAACGAAGATTTGGGGAGGACTCTCCCCACATTTGCTACAAGTACCCTTGTGGCTAAAGAGACCAATGCGAGATAGACAAGTCCAGTTGCAAAAGGCACAGCAGAAAGACTCCTTAGGTGGCTTCGGCAAGACACGGTTCTTTCTGCATTGTCTTTTCTCCTCAAGAATGATTCTGTGTGTGTTCTCAAAAGAAGCAGCAGCGTTATAGATGGTGTATCTCCAGGTCTCCCTATTGGAGGCCAGAGTAGACCAGTGATGAAGATCAATATGGCCGAGGCTGAGATATTGTTTCAGGGAGTCCTTCTATCTTCTCTTCGGGGCTCTTCTCTTGCAGCAGCCGGTGGCAAGTTCACCATAAAGCAAGATCTTAGGGAGGTGGTGGTCCTTCATCCTGGAGATGTGCCCTGCCCATCACAGCTGTGTTCTCAACAACGTGGCCTCAATGCTTGTGATTGCTGCTTGTTCTAGAAAAGATGTATTGGTCACATAATCTGACCAGTGGATGTTTAGGATTGTACAGAGACAGCATTGATGGAAGTGTTCTAGGAGTTGCAGGTGGCGGCGGTAGATGACCCATGATTCAGACCCATATAAAAGAGTAGACAGCACAGTGGCTCTGTAAACACTGATCTTTGTACTTTTCTTCAGGTGTTTATTTCGTCAAACAAAGTTTTCCAAAAGCTCTCTATGCCTTTGCCTATGTAGTGGTTTGGACTTTGTTTTCCCCCAGAGGCTAAGAAAAGTGGTAGACCCCAAGGGGTGGAAACCCCTGGATGTTTTGAAGTTCTGCCCAATGGGCCCTCCTGCAAAAATGTCAACATTCCACAAGCTCAACGGAAGAGATGAGTTGTAGTTTGGTTGAGGAGAGGTGACCATGTTGTAGAGCCACGAGGAAGGGGCTCGGAGCCCCACAGGGGATCTTTGGCCCCCAGCCCCCAGCGGGGGCCTGCGGGGACCTGGAACAGCATAAAGCTGGGCTAGGTGTCTGTAGTTATGCTGGGAGATGTTTTCTCCATGGGCGCAGAGCAGCAGCCGGCACTGACCAGAGAAACGGTGGCAGAGAGCCAGGACAGATAAGACCTGAACCAGAGGAGCAGCAGAAACAACATGCAACACCGCAGAGAAGACTCCTGGAAAGGGAGAGAGAGAGAGAGCCAGCAGCTGAGAGACAGAGTTCTGGGGGTAAGACTGATATCAGACCCCCCAAAACTCCTTTGAGATCCCTCTGAGAAAAGAGGGAGATGGACTCCTATTAAGGAGAAGAGTTTTAGACATGCAGCACCGGAGAGAGAGAGGAGCTGAGAAGCTCAAAAGACATCCCAGAGATGGAATGCGGGGGGAGTTGACCTTGGCTCCCCCCTCGCACTGCTGCCATGGTGGCAGCCTGAGGCAGTGGCACAGAGGCCCTGCAAGGAGCTTGGGTCTCCTGGAGATACCAGACCGTCACGAAGACCCCCCTGTGTCTCGTGATATGACGTGGTGAAACGACCTTGTCTGGGGTTACGAAGCCCACGGAAGACCCCTTTGCCTGTGTCAAGGGGGCCGAGGGAGATTGGATACCTCCCATGTGAGTGCTGGCAGAAAGCCAGCTATCAGCTGCTGCATGTGGAAAAGACAGACAGACTGCTGCCTCAGAAGATGCTGCTGCTTAAGGACTGGAAGGGATCTGTCCTTCTTTCCCTCCTGGACTTTTATTTGGAGGGGAGAAGAGATCTGATCCATTGTAAATACTATATGTCATGGTAGACATAGTTGTGATCGTGTGTATAATGTATTATAATATTTATTTGTACAGTCATTGTAATATATTCCCTTTCCCCCACTCTGAGTCTGGCTGTGTTTTTGTCTGGAAAACCCATCTCACATTAGGTTGAGATGTGGGAGGGG